TCCGGAACAGACATCGAGATTGAGTTGTAAAGCTGTTCAATTCCAGACAGGGTTGGGCATATATATTATGACCATCAGTACATATGAATATTCCTATTTGAAACACTAGAGTCAAAAGCGCCTAAGGAAAAGAACGAAATCACTCTTTCACAGAAGAGATTTCGAAAATATAACACGCGAGGGATACCACTGGATACGTATTATTCCCTTCTTATCACAGGACGCGTTTTCAGTGAAAAACTAATTGCACGAACAATGGGAAAACATTGTCTGTTTATTTTGCAGTAACCGTGTGGAATTATCAATCTTCAAACTTTATCGGTTATAGATTGAGGATATTTTTGAGAACAAATGTATGTACCACTTCCGGTTCAAGGTAATGAGCATTTTGTGAACAACGACAGTGCTCTTCTTTTTCACTATGAAACTAAAAAACTAAAGCAACTTTTTAGTCAAATGTTGAAATCAGCTACCTCATATTTTCTCCAATTCACTAATGATTGCTATGGTGAGCTGCCAAATGGTGTTGAACGTTCTTTCTTCTTTATTGATGTTTCCTATCAGGATGTCCTAAGCAGTCCCAATCTGCTAATAGCTGGAGCTTTGAGTTCATTAACCAGGTGAATTAGATGTGAGTCTCTTTGTTAGTGTTCACCGCAAATGGAAGAGCTGATTTCTCGGAAAACTCTATTATGGTGACTACATGCATGGATTATGGAAATACGATAATCTATGAGGTTTTATACGGTTTGTGTGTCTCAAGGATGGGCCCAAAACATTCTTGTCCTAGCATAAAGCAGATTCAATACTGTTCTAGAACAATCACAATGTTTGCCAGCAATCAACAATTAAGGTTTCTCTCCGACGTTGTGGCCACATTATGCCAGCGAATCCAGATAGTTGAAATGAATCTTCTTTTTTCATTGTAAAACCTATATGCTGCATTGCACATGAAATTTTGTGTTGCACATTACACCTTTCTTATCTCATGTACGCCATAGTCAGAGAATATTTATTGTACTCTTTTGAAGCTCATAGCTAACAGTAACATCCATTGGTACAGTCCTCTTCAGGTCCTCGTTGACCAACGATTACACACTCCGTATCTGAGGGCGTTTACCGATTAACTGTATGTAGCCCAGCTGTGCAGAGTTGAGCATCTGTTTGTGTCTCTGGACGGTGACCTAGAAAATAGCAATTATTTATGCAACTGGCAGACTCATTCCCTTTTAACAAAAAGTGGCCTTATTAGATTTTCACTGATCTGGTGTGTTGTCCGTCGACAGGTAAACTTCGGAGTGCTAAAAATCAATATCCACTAAACCACAACACAAGATCTGCTTTTATCCTTTAGTGATAAAGAGTCTGATGTAGCAGCTACGAAGGTAGGCGGGAAAAAATTTGGCGTTTGGTTTGCTGTGGGTTGATCAAGTGTTTAATATCGAATTCATCTTTCTCTCGGTGTTATTCAAGACAAAAGTATGACATTATATGTAGTAGAGAATCAAAATGCTGCAATGCAAACGCAAAAGTTAGTAAATTTTGGTCATAATCTTGAATGAGGTGTCTATCTATCTGTATGTTTTGAGTATAAGACAAATAAAGGTGTCGATAGGGAGTGACTGTTCTGGAAGAGTGCAAATCTTGACGAATGTTCATCTCCACTTTAGTCCTTCTGCATCAGTCTCATGAACAAGAACATGTTGAAACGCTTCTATACGATTTTTTTTCGGACAGTTTCTTCCCCTTTTGCTTATATCATCTACTGTTCGACTGACTACTTACTCCTGGTTTCTGGAAACAAACCATGTTAGACAGTTCCAACCATGGATTACCAAACTGCTGTAATTCATTTATCGCTAGAGTTTTCCTGATGGGGTGAGTGATTAACGTCCGGTTCCATCGGCCGCATTCCCGGATCAGAAAGATAAATCAGCTTTGGTTGTTCCCGTTTTTCGTGTTGAAATGAGAACAATAACAACGACGATAACAATAACAACAACAACAACAATAACAACAACAACAAAATGAAGCTGTGTAAGGCGGGCGTTGCTCCACGTACTCTCTACCAAATCCTGAGTTTATCAACTAGCGAACGATACAACTGAAATGAATAATCTTTGGGAACTGCGGGGGATGTATTCAAGCAGTGACGTGCCATACAACCCAGGCCTAACCACTTCCACATTTCTGTGATTTTACCGGAATCAGAAACCAAACCCATTCACGCGGCCGACAAACACGGAAACTCGTATTTCACGTTGGTATCAGCAGCGGCGTGTCACGTTAGTCAGCTTCATGTTATCACATACAGGCGGACTGAATAACCTAGGTGCTGACGGAAAATTGCCTCTCCGAATCAGAATGATCACCATTGGACGAGAAGTTGCATAATGATTGTTCACAAATATTCCATTAACGGCACATTTCGCAGTGTTAATTAACTATAAATAATAATTTCCACAAATCACCTTGAAAAAGACCAGAACTATCACTTCAGATGTCGTAAGGAAATAGATTTTAATTCGGATCGCTGCGGATGCTTTCGACGAAATCAACAGACTGCTGTTATGAATTCGTAAGCCAAAGTAAAGTGAATTGGTGAAAACAGCTTTACAGAGAAAATGATTGAGTAAATGATTTTGTTAATGATATATCTAAAGAAACCGGACAGACTACTAACTGTGAATGCAATTGTAATTGTTATTGCAATTGTAGATGTGATTACAACTTCTGTAGGTGTGAAGCTCGCATTGCAATAAAAAATACGGAAAAATTGGTAATCGTGTCACCAGAGCGATAGAGATAATATTCAAGGTTGTCGATTTTCCGGATTATATCCAAAGTGGCAACATATCAACAGTTGTTGAACAACGTTTGGTTACCTCCATCTACCTGCATCTACCGTTCAGCCTGATTGA